CCAGCGCTGAGTCCAGGGGCAGAATCACTTCCCTGGCCCTGTTGGCCACCCTGTTCCTGAGCCAGGAAGCTCCGAGGTGAAGGTTCCCTCTTCATCCACCATTTTTTCAGACCAAAAAAACCCCCATTCATTTAGGTCAGACCTCCAAATATCCTCTATTGTCCTTTATTATCTCAATAATGCACCTTGCAGACCTACTCTCAGGACTCGCTGAGCAAACAAACTGCGGATTTTTAACGTGTCGAGTCCAAAATTTGATAATAATCTGCCAACACAGACAAATACACTGGTGTGTAATCAAGATAAGGAAAGCCAAATGTAAATTAGATTATTTGGGAGCCAGTTTGCAAGATTTAGAGTGGAATAAGCTTTCCTTTCTAGTGGGTTTTCTTTTGACCGGGCAGTGAAATAACGCCCAAATTCTGAGAGCTCCAGCAATAATTCAGCTTACAAGGGCCTGTGAGTGTCACAGCTCCAAACTGTCCCCCAGCAGCTTCAGAACCCAGCAGAGAAGAGCCCAAGGAGCAGCAGGGGAAGGTCCCCAAGGAGCAGAATCTCCACTTACCTCCCCAAGGTGGGAATCTCCCAGAGGCCCTTTTGTCTCCGGGTTGACAATGACCACTTTGACTCCAGGCAGAATCTAAGGAGCACAAGAAGGAATGTGTAATTCCTGCTGGATTATCCTTCAGGTACAATAAAACCCATTCATTCAGGGCAGGATTTCACCCACGGCCACCACGAGCAGGGATAAAACACGCCAGGACAGGTACAGTGAGGCAGGCTCAGGGTGTGGATGGATTCCATGGCTCAAGGGCCACACAGGGAGGGCATTCTGGGCCTGGACGTGTTGCTGGACCTCGATTTTGAAGAATTCAGTTACAAAAATACGGGGAAACCTCTTTTTGTTAATCCATGAGGGAGAGACAGTAAATCCCAAATACAGGCTGATTTCAGGGATCCCACAGCCCCCACTTCTGATGTGGACTCCATGATCTCAGAGGTCTTTTCCAACCTAATTCACTCTCTGATTTGGTTCATTGACTGCAAACAGAACCAATTCTCCCACGAGTTTCAGCAAAACACGCTCCTTAATCATTACTTCGTTATAAATCCAACTGATTTTCCAGAGGAACAGCGTAACCAAGCCCTTCCCAAGCCTTGCCACAGGATTATCCTTCTCAGGGCTGTAAGAAAGGTGTGGTTCCCAACTGCCCTGTGCTGTGGCTCTGCATAAAGACGTGGAATTACCTTCCCAGACTCGGAAAGCAACAGGCTCTGTGGAGCTCCTCGTTCCACCAGACGGACTCTGAAGGGAAAGAAAACCTTGTCAGGATGAAAAGGGTGGAAATCTCCAGAGCAGTGTGAGAGCTCAGCACCCTCACAGCATTTTATAGAGTTGTTAAAGTGATTTAATGAACTCACTGTACCTGTCATGTCTCAAGGACTTCAGGTCCACGTACACCGTGGTGGGATCGGGCCCGGACGTTCCCTGAGGAGTTAAAACATTTAAAACCCATCAGTTTGTCTCCAGCAGGCAGGGGAACTCCTGCCTGAGCTCAGAAACCTCTCCAGGGGTTTCCCACAGCAAAATTCCTACTCACACCCCCCCCACCTTTGCAGCTGCACTAATGGAGACCCTCCAGTGAACAGGGAAACACTTGGGGGGAGGGAGGTTTGGGGAGGGGGGGACACAGTCCAAGCCCCC